TCCTAAATTCGACATTTGGGATCTAGTTCGCTTTGCACCCCATTTTCTATAGTTTCGAACCAGTTGTAAACGAAACAAGTAACAAGATGTTTTCTTTTTGGGTTACATGGTAGCAATTTTTAATTATTTGCAGAGAAATGTATTTTCAATCTGAAATCAAATTTGTTTGAATGAATGTAAATTAAATTGTGCATTTGAAAACACGTTTAGATACCTTTGGCTGTAGCCGAATTTGCAGAGGTGCTGACTGTTATTGGCTATATTTCAGAAGGTCCCAAAATGTTAAGATGTTAACACAAATATTAGTTTGTATTACCAAACTATGAAAACGCATCTGCAACGTACAGACTGAAAGCGTATTTGAACGAAAAATCCGCCAAGCAAAAATCTATTTAAAGTAAACAAGCCCCCCGCTGCATCCATTTTTCAGTAGTTTCAAAGTTCGCCAGATGAGATCTAGTTCGTTCTGCATCCCTTTTTCTATTGTTTTGAACCAGTTCGATAAAAAATTTCATTAAAATTGGATTGCAATCGAAAAACATTTGGTGAATCAGTGATTTTATTTCGATCTGATTGTAATGAGAACTGCTTACATTCAAATTGATTGCATTCAATTTCTGTCAAATTAACGTAAATTGTAATTTTCACAACAAGAATTGCTTGCTAAACAAAATAATTGCTCGGTTGTATATATATATATTTAGACTGTATTTTCCGCGATTTTGTAATAAAAAATTTAATTATATAACCTTTTCTATATTTCCAGATTACCAGATAACAATATTAACGCAAACGAGAATCAAAGCTACCCATTTACATTTATTTAGATACATATGTATGTACAGTCAGTCAATAAAGTTTAGGAGCAGCGAATTTTTTACAATACGGGCAACTATTTTTTAAATATTTTATTTTTCGCAAATTTTTTGTAAAAATATGGTTAATTCTACAACAAAGCCCCCAAATTTTAAAATTCCAAACCTTGTGCAAAATTAAAGAAAATTCTGCAAAATTTCATTCAAATATTGCACTTTTTATTTACTAGAAAAAAGTTCAGTATGCAGTTTTTTAGCCTATTAAATTTTAGTATAATAAAGTGCAAGTATGAGGAAGCTAGGACTTACCATTGATTTTTGGGAATTTGTTTTTGTCGAAGGTGTCGCACATTTTTTCCATATACAAAAATTATCAAACATTATTTTATATGGAGAAAATGAGCGACACCTTCAACAAAAAACAAATTCCTAAAAATCAATGGTAAGACCTACCTACCTCAAACTTGCACTTTGTTATACTAAAATTGAATGGGCTAAAAAATCGCATACTCAACTTTTTGTACAGAGCGTTAATAAAAAGTGGAATATTTGAATGCAATTTTGCAGAATTTTCTTAGTTTTGCACAATGATTGGAACTTTGAAATTTGGGGTTTTTGTTGTAGAATTAACCATATTTTTACAAAAAAATTGCGAAAAATAAAATATTTAAAAAATAGTTGCCCGTATTGTAAAAAATTCGCTGTACCTAAGCTTTATTGACTGACTGTATGTACCCTGCAGTGAAAAGCTGAACAAGTAAGCACAAATTCCAGTTCATGGACTATTATTTAAGGATAGAAGTCGTATCAGTTCGTTATGAACTGTACTTTTACCAGTTCCTCGTACAAAAAAGTAAACAAGTGGTATTCAATAGGAAAGTCATAGTTCGTCATGAACTATAATTATACCAGTTATCCGCTGTGAAATGCCAAACCAGCCAGTAAAAATACCAGTTCATTAACTAGTATGTGCTAAAGGGACGGCCTACCATTTCGACGATTTCGAACAACTTTTGTGATCAGCGACATCTGTCTTTGAATCGCCAAAAACAAAACTAAATTGCAGTTAATTGTATTCCTCTCAACTGTCGGCTGTGGTGCGAGTGAAGACTAACGATTCTGGTAATGGAATCTCAGGTTCGTGTCCGTATGGTGGTGATAAAGTAAAGTAAGTCAATTATTTCAACCACTTAAATATAAACTAATGATTGTAAATTTAATTTCATTAGGAAAATACCTAATACTGAAATACAATAAAAAAATTAAATGAAAATGGAATGGCGAGCCAGAGCCAGTGATGCCAGAAGTTCTCTGTTAAAAATCTCACGAAAATCGGGGAAAAACTCCCTCAATTACCCACATCTTAAAAATTGATCCCACAAAATTCTCAACGAATTCAAAACATATACATACATATTTCAGTAAAAAAGAAGTAACATTGATATAAAATAATAATAACAGATTGGCGCTTACACATATGTCAGTCTTTGGCCGAGCTTCTCCTCCGACTTGTGGGGTGCGCTTTATGTTGTCACACAAAGGGGAGGGATCTAAAGTTTTACGCCGACTCTGAACCATGATTAAAACATAACAAGGGAAAACCAAAGAGAGGCAGTCTGACGTTTGCCATCAACATAACTTAAAAATTCAAAGATCAAACTCACGCACACATTCTCATTTTACAACGCTTTTATCAACTTGCAATGTTGTGTGTCCAGATACCATTTCTAACTATAAAATCTTTGCTTTGCAAAGTTCCTACAAAAAAGTCCTCGTCGGTTGAGAGGTAGATGTCGCCCTATGCACTACGTATGCTACAGCGGAAATGGACGACACGCCATTTCTTTAAATGAAATTAATTGGTGCTCGTATGTATGTAAATACATATATATATACATGTGTGTGCACCAAATCTATTAATATGGTTGAAATTTTTGATTATCTATTGTAAAGTTTTATACAGACAAGACTTAAAAGTAGATAATAATTAATATGAAAAAAAAACTTTTTAATATACAACCAATATAAATGGACTAAAAATTAGAAAATAATAATTCTCAGTCCCATAGAATTTAGTTTGATAACTTTTGATTTTGAAATTTTAGCAAAAGTCATTATAAACAATTTATGAGATTGAAAATGAAAATCGTGGGCGCGTGTAATAGGCCCGACTTGATATGAAGGGTAATATATGTATATATGTGGATATATGAATAACGACCGCTTAACATCGATCTCAAATTTGTACTTTCTCTGTAGAAATTTTAGGTCTATGTTATGTAGTTTGACTATTGTCAATTAAATCTAATGCTTTGTTACGTTATGTTGTACATTACATGTGTATGTATTATATATTGTAGATATGTATTTTGTTTGGAGTTGAAGTTCGCCTATATATGTACATATGAACATATACAATACGATAGTATACGATACTATCGAAAATATCGATAGTATTTTTCAAACCATCGAAACTATGGAATGGCGCCACCATCGATAGTTTTGCAGCTCTATTACTTATTGGAAATTCTTCAAACTATCATTGTTACAAATTATTAGCATTGTGTAAGCGAATATGATTTTTGGTGACTTAAAATTGAAGCACATACATGTGCTATTTAACATTTCATCAGATAATTTGTTCCGATTTTTACATGAAACACCAGTTACAATTGAAAAGACTCCTTTTACTCAGCGCTTGGTTTGGTTAACGTGAGAAAATTTTTCAAGTTGTCCTTATAATTTTTAATACATATATGTACATAGTATTACTCCATATCACATCTTCAGAACGATTAATTACGTAAGAGTGTCGAATATTCTTGAATTTTGATCAATTATTCATCAATAACTGTGTCAAAAGAAAATCCCTTTTTTATTTGAAATGTCCGTTTTTTTCCTTTTAATAATTTTTGTTGCAAAATATCCCTCAAATGGGGAAATTACCCACAATCTGGCATCACTGGCCAGAGCTTTGCTCTGTCGGCCATTGCCACTGTTGCAGCGCCGCGAACAAAATGGTATACTTTTGCTTTTCACGGGGGATGAATTGGCTGAATATCCCGTCAACTGGAGTGATGCTACTAGTATTTCTACTGGTATGGTTCTGATGCAGGAGCGGACAATTGACACCTCCTATGACACCGCCATATTAAAAATACCAGTCGCTAACATTGAAAAAGGAACTACAAGTTGGGCTTAAACGCAAACTGGTAGCACTCTAGTTCACAACTGGTAGCTTTCCCTGCAGGGTACATACATACATATATGCCGCAGTAACAAACATCAGTCGTTGTGATAAAATATGTGCTAAATTCTTATGCATCCATGAGGCATCTAAATTTAATTTTTTTAAAGAAACCATTGTAATTTTTTCACTAATAGATTTTTGTAAAACATGTGCATACATATTTATTAAAAGTTTTGTTCACATATTTTAAACCAATATTTATGTATGCACATATGAAAATTGTATATCTTCATAATAGGGTTTTGCGCTGAAAAAGTAAATAAAATACACGAACACTTACGGCGATTATGTGTCTAGCAATCATCAGGCATAATAAAACAATTAGTTGACAGACTTATTTTTATTTATACGATCTTACAGATGTCTGCACTTCAGATAACGATGATTTGAAAACAGTTCATATTTAACGTCTTGGCCGCTAACACCGTAACTACAATTATTTAGTGAGCTGAGAGGAATATAAACGCTGGACGTTTGATACACAACAATAACCACAAACATTGATATACAAATATAAAGGTGCATACATATATGTATGTATAGAAAAGGGCAAAGAAAAAATATTGATGGAAATGCCTAAAATACATACATATGTATATATCTACATACATACCCTGTAATCCAAAATTCCCATCTTAACGAAATCTTTAGGAATTTCTCATTTCTGTAACGATTTTTTTACGAAGGAAAATTGTATGAAGTTGTTGACGCGAGCTCGTTAAGAAATTTCTGTACGAAAAATAAAGAAAATTCTGAAAAAATTCTACAAGAAATTTCTCCTATCGCAGCACTGTTGTCATTGCTTTCCCGATTTTCTTCCGAAATTTCATAAAAGAATCGAAGTGTGCACAGTTTATTTCATATTAGAAAATTCGGCAAAAAATCGGATGAGATCTTAACGAGTTCTTTAAAATTTCTCTACAGTTCAGAATACTCTGAAAAAATGGTTTGCAGGGTACATATGGTATGTTGCGACTTATAATTTCTCTTAGTACGACATACATAAATGGAATATTGGAGTGATTTCTTGAGGATTGCAATTATAATACTTGCCTTTCAGCGAATCTCATTAACACCCAAATAAATAACATAGAATACCCCGAAAAACATATGCTATTCTGAAAACCTGTAAATATTTAAAGACAACTCTTCTGCAAGACCTTGGGTATTGTGTGCTTTGACGATTTTATTCAATAATGTTAAGTGATGAAACAAAAGAGCCGTCATCAGCAAACAGGAAGTCGCTACATAATAATAACAGCGGTAACTTCAACCAAAATAAAAGCATTAAAAGTCTACATGAATTATTTCTCGAAATACTGGATGCAGTGCTATCATGTGTCATAGTTGCTCCTTGCGTAATTGCCTATTGGCGCGGAACTTGGGAACTAATGGGTATATTGTTGTTCCCGCGAAGCATTCCGCTTTCTGCGCTGATGTCTTTTCTGATCGGCGGTTTGGGACATTTTTTTTTTACAGTTACGCAATCTATGTTTCGAAATTACATAAATCCGGATAACCGCCGTCTCACCTATTACGTAATATCGCGCAGTTATACAGCTTTATTTGGTATAGTATGTGTTAATATGTGGCGAGGCTCGTGGATTCTTTGCGATTGGCTAACCAGTGCTGACTCACTAGTTATAATATCCGCTGTTACGTTTGTATCTATTATGTTCTTGATTTCAACTCGCACTGTTCGCAATTTGGGTGCTGCGCCTTATTCTGTTACAATGGACCATAAAAGTGATTATTTTGATGTCGACACCATGTTTAAAATACCAGTGAGTACATTTAGCCTTAACACATTTAGGGTCTTCACACCGAGCGTGGTACTCGGTAACTCGGCGTTCGATAATTTTTCCGCATGTATTTTGTTTGTGTAAAGTTATTTTACTATCGGTTTACCGGTCACCGAGTTATCGTGGTGGAAGCTTGAAAATGTTTCTGGGAGTTAGTAAACTGCAATCAGCTGTTCGATAATTATCCAATTTTAGATCCGCCCGCTGCCGAAAGACATAAGGCATATTTATGAGTAAGTAAAATTCCTTGACTTTTCTGTTACAATGTATTTATTTTTTTTAAAAAGCTACGAATCAGCTGTTGATAAACATGGTTTACCAGCGTAACAAAAAAAAGCTGAAAAGGACGTTCACAGTTGATAAAATTACCGAGTACCAAATATCAGTTTACCAAGTACCAATTAGCAGGTGTGAAGACCCATGTTATAACTTTACTTATACAAATACGTTCTGCTTATAACACCGTCCACTAAACATTGATGTAAACTATTGTTGTTTTCTACACAATTCATTATAAACAGCCTCAAGCTCAATAAAATTTTTGAATGTAATTGTTATAAGGCTATAAATAACAAATACAAATAACTTAAGGACGAGCACACCTAACAGTTAAACATTCTAATAATAGAAAATATTAACAACAAGTAAGAAAGTCTAAGTTCGGGCGGAGCCGAACATTAAATACCCGGCGCAAGTATATGTTTTTTCACCTTTCCGCTACCGATAGATGGTAAGACGGGGTGTATAAATTTTGAGTAAATTAGCGTCCTTAAATTTCGAAATATTCCAGTTTCAAGCATTTCTGAAATTTACAGTTATATGAAAAGCGGCCGTAATTTTAGTCCGATTTCAATAATTTTCAACGTTTTGCTTTTATGTGGCAAGGACAATAAAAGTACCGAGATTGGTACAAATTAGTATAACGGTTACCGATATACATATATGTGATCATAAGCGGGCGGTGCCACTCCCATTTTTCAAAATTTTACCATAAACGTATTTCTTGGTAAAGAATTGTTGCAAGCATCAATTTTGAATAAATTAGCTTTAATATTTTCTGATTTATCGAAGATTTTGTATTTCTCTAAATTACCGTTATATGGGATGTAGGCGTGGTTATTGTCCGATATTTTAAATTTTCAGCCATTTAGTATGCTGTACCCAGGCCAACAACTGCGCCAAGTTTTGAAGAAATTGGTGAAGCGGTTACCAAGTAATACACATGTAACCATAAGTGGGCGTGGCTACGCCTATTTTCCAAAAATGTATAATAGTCTTATTTTTCGTGTAAAAATTATTGTAAATATCAATTTTGAGTGAATAATCTCCAGTAGTTACTAAAATATCGCAGTTTTCGTATTTCTCAAAATTACCGTTATATGGGAAGTAGGCGTGGTTATTGAGCGATTTTAAAAATTTTCGGCCATTTGGTATGTTGTGCGAAGGC